CACAACATAGGCTTGAAAAGAATCTGAAGAACTTACATGGCTCAACTCAACTCAACATAACTGAACTCATTTCAATATAAAGCAGTTTAAAACAATTGCAATATAAAAAAAGTTGCTTAAAGCATGATGTCAACTCTGTATGTATGCAAAGATACATATAACTCTGAAATGTATGTAAAAATATACAATAAACTGTGTATATAAGAATACAATTACTTGTGTGGGAGTTTCTCTAACCGACAATCATCATGTAAGAGCTATTGTGATGATACAACGTTTTGCCTCACGCTGCCAGGGCCATCTTATACCTTGTCGGGGGGTATAGAACCTGAACTACTAAGTGGATACACTAGTCTATATTAAAAAGCACTGAAGGAATCATCTAAAAAGTATGACCCTTTTCTACCCATGATGGAGGCATGGTTTATGGAGGCTGTGAGTTGTCTGAACTCTCCCTCATATCAATACTCAATACTACTCCCAAAAATACAATATTAGCTCTTATATTTAAAACAGACTTATTTCTGTTATTTGAGATTAGTGCTCAAAAACATAGTTCAAAGGCTATCTTGGAAATCAAAGTTTCCTCTCTTGCTTCATTTAGAAAGCGATTACTCTTTTCTGAAAACTAGTCCGAAGGCTCTTTGGAAATCGAGGTTTTCCTTTCTTGTTTAAATGTGAAAACATTTTTAAACCCTTTGGGAATACATAGTCCCCATATATTTTTGAAGAAATGAACTTCAAACTTTACTCTTTAATCTTTACTCAACTTGAACTTTAAGTCTTAAAACAAATTAAAACATTTGGAAAAGACTTTTTGAAAACTTTAAAGAACTTCTCTTGACTTGCTTCTTAACTTCTAACTTGACTCTTAACTTTCCTTGAATTGAATTATGGATTCAAGGATTGTGATTTGTGATAGGAAAGATCTCATGATGTTTAGGAATGATTTTAGAATAGCTAAACATGAGAAAATATCAAGAAATCACTGTTTGAGGTGGGTTTGCGACGCGGAAAGTATTTAAATTTTTGTTCGAAAACGATTTTGAGCAGAACGGTCCGTGACCCCCGCATGAAATGATTTTTCCCCAAATTATGGGGGTAGGTCCGGAGGCGGAGGCACTGCCCAAATTTTCCCGACGAAAATTCCTTCTTCGTTTTCCAGCTCTAACCCCTCTAAACTCCATTGGTTCTTTCTCCAAACACTTAGAATCATTTATACCCTCAGATAACATCAGATTCTACTCGAAAACGCAACTAAAAACGTGAATCAATCTCAAGAAAACTCCAACAACATAACCCACAAGGATTCAAACGAACTTCATCAAGAATTCAAGGGATTTACTTTCAAATTAATATACTTTGCTGAAATTGAATCAAGTTGGGCGCGTGGGTGAACTAACCCAATGCTATGTGATCTCACAGACCTTGTAGGGATCACCCCCGACGAAATCCACAAGTTAAACTCGACGATCTTGACGATTCTTGCTTCTCTTCTCCTTTTTCCTCTTCTTTTCTCTTTTCTCCAAGCCCTAGCGTATTTTGGTAAAGCGTAAACTAATCTAATTCTGATTAGACCCTAACTTAATTACAAAAAACGAAATAAAATAGTTTGGCAAGGAAAAGACCAAACTACCCTTTAAAAATCCGGATTTGCTTTCCTTATTACAACAACCCAACTTCCAAAGGTCATAAATCACTCATACAAACTCAGAATCGTGCAAACTCAGCGGCGTTGGAAAGATCATTCCAAGACCTTTCCTACCATATCTAGAAGTACCTCTAACTCATACTGATCTAGAAGTTATGGCTATTTGAAGTTTTGCCAAAACTCAACTTATTCTACCTTAACAAAATTTTCAGATTTTCATTCTTTCCAAAAATGACTTCCAATATTAGCTTCTTCCTAGTTATTTCAAATTGCGAGATGTTACAACTAACTTATTGTAAAAACATTAGCCATTGAATATTTATTTTGGAGATATCACATTTTCTAACCGAAGTTTTATCGTGATTTTAGATTTCATTGTTTAACTCTCTTAAAAGATTTGGTTTCCATGTATGTCGGGATAGTCAATTTGACGACAGTTGTAACCCTAATTGAGGTCCGATATACGGGTGTGAGAAAGAGGCCAAAGGGGAAGTACGAAACTGATATTACAAATCCTGTCAAAAAGGTACGTGTCATGTTAGAATCCTTAATACGAAAGAAGAAGCAGGAGCATATGATAATACGGCAAGCATGTATCGCGGCCCTAATACCAAACTTAATTTTCCGACATCAAATGAGGATAACCTAGAACTCCTAATAAAATTGATGAGAATCTTCATCATGAGCACAATCTTGAATTCACCTTTGCTCCCTCAGGGAGCATGTGAAACTGTCCACATTTGTTATCAAGTATCCCATGCATCACAGTTAATAAGAGAAATAGTTTAATTTCCCTTTTAGATTTTGGCAAGGGCAAAAAATAATACAAAGATTTTTTCTTATTTCTCAAGATGATAGAAGTAATGTTATGTTAATTTAGATTTTTTAATTATGTTTACTTTGTTGTATTTTTTTTTTCTTTCTTTTATAAGAATCTCACTTGAATGAATTTTAATTTGGTTGCATTGTTCTATTGACAAGGGAAAAGATGAAGGGGCTGTGTGTAGTTTATTTTTTTTATAATTGTGCATCTATTAAGTAAAACAGAGGTAGGATATATATAAAATCGCTTGAACACAAAATTAGAGTTGGTTCAATGATTTAACATATTCAAAATTCACCTTAATGTTTCAGATTTAATGTGATTCAATCATCTTGACCTACATCCATAACTAAAAGAGGAGCATATTAATTGACACCAACAAATGCAAAATAAAGTACCAAACTCAAAAAAGTATAAAATTAAAGTAATTAGATACTCTATATCAAATCAAAATAAGTCCAATTATTTTCTAATTTTATATTAATATAATTTATTTATTTTTTACTTAAAAAAGGACCTATGATCCTTCCTGGATAGTTAAAATTTAATAAATGTTAAAGAGAAAGTTAAAAAATAAAAATACAATAAAAAAATTAACTTAAAATGAGAAAGAAGGATAAATATCCTGCGTGAGAGACAAACAAGAAGGGAGATAAATTACTTTTCCTAACATATAATGTATTTATCATATAAATTATGATTAAGAAATTACTTTGATAAATTAAATATTAGTCATTACATTTAATTTATGTCATATGTCAATAATCCAAGCAAGAAATTGAAAAAACGAGAGAAATTTGGTCCAAAAAAGAACTCGAAGATACAAGGTAATTACACTACATGTCACGTTACTTATTTTTAAAAAAATTTATTGTTATTGAATATTATATATGCTGTAGCTAAACTAATTAATAAATTTCCCTTATAGTGATTCACTTACCTTTGAGTATTATTGATTTGGCATAATACATAAATATGCCCTTTAACTTGGCTTCAAATCACATTTATGCCTTTCAACTTTGGGTATGCACAAGTAGACACTTAAACTTGTATAAAATTGAACAAATAGACATACATGTCCTACATGGCATCCTACATGTCATTTTTGTCCTACGTGGTGTCCTACGTGTATTGTACCATGTAAGACTCATGTGCTTACTTGTTCAACTTTATACAAATTTAAGTGTCTACTTGTGCATATCCAAAGTTGGAGAACATAAACGTAAAATGGAGCAAAGTTAAAGGGCACATTTATGTATTATGCCTATTGATTAATTATGGACTTATGATTAATGAAAATATTATTTTTGATAAGTAAACTTAGTCAAATTCACGTAATCTTAACTTATAGCTAAATAGTTAATAGTATTGACTATATATATTATTAGTCAATAATTCAATAATTATTTTTTCTAAATTTAATTAATAATTAGTTGACCAAATTTAATGTATCCCTTTGAGATACGACTATATAAATCACTCTTCCTCTTCTTTTTCACTCATTGAGTCATCTGTACATACAAAATTCCTTCATTTAATTTTGTTTTTAGTAGCAGTCAGGACTTCAAGTCGTGATCAATGACCACCATTGGTGCATTCACAGGCATAGTGATCGTCCTCACCACACTTGAAGCAGCCGCCACCACCACCGCCTCGTCCATCACCGTCGAAGTGTCTACCACCTCCGCCGCCATAGACTTCACTCTGGGTACCTAGCCAGTTTGCTAGGGAGTGTACCTAGAGTGAAGGCAATGGCGATGGAGGTGGTGGATACTCCGACGGTGATGGTCGTGGTGGTCGTGGTGGTCGAGGTGGTGGTGGTGGTTGCTACAAATGTGGTGAGGACAGTCATTATGCCAGTGATTGCACCAATTGTGTCTGGCTATATGTTTTGGCAAGTAAACTAGTGGAAGAGAACTGCCCAATTCAAAATTCACGCAATCTTTGCTTTTATGTAAATAGTTAGAGTAATGACTATATTAGTAAATCATTCAATAATTGTTTTTCCAATTGAAATTTTGGATGCTATTTGAAATGACTATTTAAATATTGTCACGCCATGCTTGCATCATTATATTTGATTTCTTTGGGCCATTGTAATTGATATGCAAAAAATGTAGTATAACCATATCAATTCAAAATTATTTCTGTTAACTAAATTATGCATTTTAAAGATTTTTTGTGTTGTGGGTATTAGGAATTCTGATTCAACTAACTAATTTTATTTTATCATGTATATAATTGACAAGTAATGTAATGGATTTCCTTTCGATTAAAAATGTCATAAGCTTTTAACATGGCTTAATTTATTTAATCCTAGAATTCTTATTTTTAAAAGAACAATTATTTGTTGAATTATTTCCAAATTAAATATGATTGTACTGTCACGCCCCGAGCCTACACCCTGGGCGGGACTGGCATTCGAAAACCATTGATGGCCCCAAGCGAACGATTGGCCTGGCTAGACTCTCAGCGGAAGACTTACTCAACATAAAATGTACTTAAATACAATCTTAAATAAACTGTCTGAATAGATAAACTGAGAATGTTTAGAAAATAACATTCAACTAGCCAAAATGGCAACTCAAGTCTTTAGATCAAACAACTGAAATATCAAGACTAAAGAACTCATATCTAACTGTCTATGAAGCCTCTAGATACTAAGAGGGACATCGGGACAAAGACCCCCGATCAACCTAACAACTGAAGTAGGCAAAAGCAATAAAACAAAATATAACCAAAGGGATCCTCCAGAAAGCAATGAGGCTCACCAACTGACTCGACTAGATCAACGAGGCGTTGGATGTTGATCTTGGTTACCTATATCTGTATCATAAAACGATGCAGGCCAAATGGAATCAGTACATTGAATGTATAACCATGCGAGGGGAAAACTAAACACGACATAAAGCTTGAAATAAATACTGAAAGAAACACTTACCTCAGCTTTACTTAACTCATGAATACTCAACTCAATGCAGAAATAAACAATAGTAAAGATGTAGTTTATATAAAGCATTTAAAACAGTAGGTAGCACCTCAATGTGTTAAAGAAATACAATAACAACTCAATATATATATATATATATATATATATATATATATATATATAAAAGTAATATAATTATGTGGGAGTTTCTCTAACCGAAAACCATCACTATGAGCTAATGTGATGATACAACGTCTCGCCCACGCTGCCAGATTTGTCCTATAACTTGTCGGGAATTGAACGCCTCAACTAAGTGGATCCACTAGTGTAATGTGGTATACCGTGCACACCATAACTTTTTATTGATCAAAAGTTATACTCGTTTAAAGTGTGTATATATATATATATATATATAAAGAAATGTTGCTTACATTTGTAAGAACGACATCTGCCATTTGGAAAGAATAAAAAAGACAAAAAGACATGCACTCATATAACATCAGTTACAAAAATAAATTTTTATCATATGACCAGCTAAGAAAATTCAATTTTTCAAATAAGGTGTAGCCGACTTCAACTGATGAACTTTCACGTGTCACCTTTCTTATTTTTAAATCAATATCATTCCATAAGTGGACTAATAAATCATTGTTACTAAAGATTATGTTGTAATTAGACTAATAAATTTCATTTTTAGTGATTTACTTACCATCAAAACAATTTTTGGTTAGTAAAAATGGTGAACTTGAAGAGAATTCTCTTGTCAAAATTCACGTACGTAATATTAGCTGTTAGGTAACTAGTAAATAGTTAGAGTAATAACTACCCATTAGTTAATTGTGGAATAATTATTTTTTCAAAACGGTTTTTTAGATAACTATTTAATTAAAATTATATTTGGTTTCTATGTAGTATGATTGTAATTGATATGCCAAAAATTGTAGTTAAATGTATTTTGTATATAAATATATCAATACAAAATTGTTTCAATTTATAAAATTATGTAGTCTTAAAAAAAAAATCTTGTCGATTTTTGAAAATTTGTCTAAATTAAGATTATTTTTTCATGTTTATGATTGATAAGTAATGAATTTCCTTTCATTAACATGTTTTTAATTCATCTTATTTTATTTGACCTTTGAATTTTTTTATATAAAAAATCAATTATTTGTTGGCTATTGCATTACTCCTAAAACTTTTTTAAAATATAACAAGCACAATTAATAATTTATGTTAGCTTATTATAATATATAAATCACGTTTTTAGTCGTTTAGTTAACTATTTTCTGATATGTGCATGTATGACCTAAAAAGAAATATATAGTCTATTAATTATATAAGGCAAAAGTACTCATTACCCCTTGAACTTGAAGCTTTTTATACGGTGTACACCTAAATTAAATTTCGCTTTAATTACCTCCGAACTTGTTTATTCCTCCGTCGCGTACACCTTTATTGTCCACCTGCTCCTATTGTGACTACACGCGCGCGACAGCTGACAAAAGTGGTGACGTGGATTTTCACCTGGATAAATAATAGCCACCTAGATAAATTAATATGCATGCAAAAATAAATATCAAACCTTCTCACCTTCTCACCTAGGCTTCTCACCTAAAACTTTCGGACTAAACTTCTCACTAAAACTTCCGGACTAAACCCGAAAATCTTCAACAAATTAATATTTAGTACCGGAGAACTCAGATTAAATGCCAGCACAAGACTTTTATTGTTGGGAATAATATTTATTCATTGGATAGTTCTTCTTAAATTTATTCATTGTTTAAAAGTTATTTTTGGATTTGGATTTTTCTAGACGTGAAGTTGGTCAATTAAATTTCAAATTTGTTTGAAATTCTTACCAAGTAAGTGTTAATCTTTGTTTCCTTTATTTTTAATTTACATTTTGCCCTATTTTTCGTTTAAAATATGCCAAATATTAAAGAAAAATGAAGATTTTACGTTTTTTTTACCGCTGTAACGTTATGATGTGGCAAAAAATCACTTCCTCACGCGCCTAGTAGAATGTGTTGTCAATTTCTACGCCAGGTGGATAATAAAGGTGTACGCAACGGAGGAATAAACAAGTTCGGGGAGGTAATTAAAACGAAATTTAGTTTAGGTGTACACCGTATAAAAAGCTTCAAGTTCAAGGGGGTAATGAATACTTTTGCCATTATATAATAACAACGCAAAACGACATACTTTTTATTAAACTAAAATAACGATTAATTTACGGCGCCAACTAAATTAACGGTTATATTTTTCATGTACGTATAATACGTAGTTTACTTATGCATAAACTAAATATTCTATTTCTGAAAAATATTAAATCGATAAAACTTTGCTTTTAACCTATCGACTACAAAATGAAAAAATATTTTTGAATCAAACTATTGAAGAAAGATATTTTTATTTAATTGTGTATTCAAAATTTAAGAATATTTAAATCATTTTTGGAAGAATAAAAGGGACGAATTAAATAGCCAAAGGAAAAGATTTTAGTTTTTTTGTGAGGGGTTGGGACGTGGCCCGTTATGAAATAGAAAAAGACAATTGGACACGCAGTTTCACAAGAGTAGAAAGATACAAATGTATATTTACCACTCTCCACGTAAGATGAAAATTCCGCTTGTTTTAAAAGTTGTTTTCCAAAACAACTCACAAATCCCTTGAAAATTATCTATATAAACCACTCCTCCTTTTCCTTCTCTATTCACAAAAAAAAAAAATCCTTGAAAGTGTCTATATAAATCACTTTTCTTTTTTCTTGTTTACTCACCCATTCTTCTATTCACATACAATTTTTTTTTTCTTGAGAGACGTCTATACAAATCACTCCCCTTCTTCCTTCTTTGTTCACTCATTCTTCTCTTCACAAAAAAAATAATAAAATAACAAATATAACTCACTCTTTTCTATTTCTTCTTGTATTTTTATTTATTTTTAAGATGGCAAAAAACAATAATATCAACGTTGCAGTTCCCTCCGGTGAAATGCGTTACAAGGGTGTGAGGAAGCTTCCCACAGGGAGCTACATAGCTGAGATCAAAGTTATCAGCCAGAGAAGATTTGTGTGGCTTGGAACCTTTGATACAGCGGAGGAAGCTGCTAGGGCTTATGATGCAGCTGCCCGACAGCATCTCGGCCCACGGACAGTCATTAATTTTCCTCCAATAACTAATCATAATGACATCAAAAGAACCAGAAATTATCTTCAAAAGCTTAATCGTAAGGATGTCATGATCAATTATGCCAACAACAGTACTTCTGCATCATCTTCTTTGATGCCAAATCAGAGTTCTGATCAGGAGTTTCGTCGTTTTACAACGATTACTGGAGCTTCTGTTATGATGTCAATGGTGCGAGATAGAAGCTTATTAGAGGCTTTAATGAGAGAAGGAGTGATACTTCCGGACCCAGAGATCATCGATGCTAACAATACCGAGCCTCTCAATCTTGAGCTCACTCTTGCACCGCCAGGTAGCATGTAAAACAAATAGCGATGCACTCTATATTTTTTTATTTTTGAGAGAAAATTTGGCATGTTGTAATCATTTCTTGTGTATGATCTCATGTAATATGAATTTAGAAATTTCTATTTCTGTTGGATGAATTTTTGTTTGGTTGTTCGATTGGAAACGGAAAAGACATAAGGAAGTAACACGTAGAGTACATGGGCTTAATTTTGTCATACTATACTAAGTACTCAAGTGTTTTCTTGAATTCTCATGAAAAGTGTGTTTTGTGAATGAATAATGTGATAAAATCTAAGTAGCTAATTATTTTTTAAAAATTTAAAATAAAATTTATATATTTAAAAACTATAAAAAAAAAACTACAAATAATCATAGTTAATTATGATTCAAAATATTCTTTTAAATGTTTGAGAAAATTGTATACAGAAAAAGAAAAAAATAATTAGTTGACCCTAAACAATAATAGTTAGCTCAACTCACATAAAATTGAATAGAGGAAGTAACTTTTATAATGTGCATAGATGAGATTTATTAAGGATAAACTACCTTATTAGACATACATCACTACTATATATACTAATATTATCTTTACTTTCAAACAATTGCATATATTACCATTTTTAATATTTTATACCATATATTAATATATTATTTGAAGATACAACTAGATTATTAGATACCCACATATCTTAAAACTAGGATTGATTAATGGAAAAATTACTTATATACACATCATTAGTTTACTTATTTTCTATTATTCCCTTCTTTTTTAAAATATTACTAAAATCCCCTTTTTTACTCCTTAAACCAAACTCCCGGATACATAACTCCATATCTCCTAACCCACGTTTCTCTCCCCAATTTTTCTCTCCTGAAATCACGCCATATTCTCTCCCATGATCTTATCATTCTAATTTTGAATTTGAATTTCAAGATATTTCTCTCTCCAGTCAAAGGATTTCTCATTCCTTCTAGGTATTGTTTCAATTTCATTACTTTCGCTCATAGTTGTTAATTTTTTTTAAAATTCAAAATTCTGATACATTTATGGAGGATCCTCCTTCATTCAGTTTAGGTATTACCCAGATAATGCCATCCAACACTAATCATGTTTATGACAATGAAGATCTAGGTTAGGCTGAGAATTGAAAAAATTGCATGATCCCCTAGTCATGACCAATGTGAGTATCGAGAAGGTGAAGAAGGATGTGCCTTCTTCTTCAAAAACAAAGATTGGGAAACCCCTAAAAAAAGGGATAGAAAAGTATCATCCCCAATTTCTCGTTCGAATCTATCCGAGGTAATGAGTTCTGATCTATTTCTGCGTTTTTGTTGTTGCTCAATCTTTGAATCAATTAGTGATTTAAATTTATGAACATTATTGAGAGATTAGTGCTATCATATTGTGATGTATCAACATGCAATTTAAATTTTGATTCAAAACCCTTTCTTTTAACTGACACAAAAATTTGTCAATTTTTCTTCTCAATGTATCAAGTTATAAATATATTTGTAACAAGTTGGATTATGTATCACTCTCAATTAATGACATAAGTTGGATTATGTATCATTCTCAATTAATGACATACATTGTGTTGTATTATGCTTATTTAAGTATCAATCTTGACTTATCATATATAATACATAAATGACATTATTAAGGTTATTGTGTATTATATACAAATATTAATATTATGTATTAGCTATAAATATAATAATCATTAAAAGTTCAACTGTATATTATTTAGCATGTATCATGTTTATATTATTTTATCTCTTTAACTATTGTTCATTTGTCTCATTATAGTCTGTGAAATACAAGATAAAACAAATTCCTACACACTTTTTGAGGTTTGGTTCAATATACAACACGATGTTTATTGGAACCAAATCACCCTTTTCTTGTTGAATATGTACAAGACATTATTCATCAAGAAAGCGACACACTGTAAGTTTTATAAAGTTTGTTTTAAAGTATATGTTCAATTCGTTTTTTTAATGTATCTTCTGCATTTGTAGGGATTGTGGATTGTTTGTGGCCGCGTTTGCTGAATTTCTTACCGACGAAATCCCAATACAATCCAATGCTTTCCGATTTGATTATCACCGCACAAGATACGCAACCTTGCTATAGAAATACGACAGTCAAAAAACCGAAGCAAGATATGTTAGTCATGATAATGACGATCCATCAAAGCCTAGGCGTTATTTCACACCACCGGATCATAATGCCTTAGTTAATGTGGAATAGTTTTGTGTATCAATGGATACACAATGTTTTTTAGTTAGTACTCTTTTCAAGATACATTAACTTAAGTGTTGGAGCGTTTCTCCAAAAACTTGTTTTGTTTGACTTTTAATGTCAATATATTTTGTTCCTTTAATCTCAGAATGTATATTGGTCTTCATTTACAAATTTCTATAATTAAACAATGTAATTAAATCAACATCAATCAGAAATGCACATAAATTTGATTAAAACTTTTATTTCCAAACAGTAACAAGTCAATATATTGTGTCAAAAAACATATAAAATCACAATACATTGAAATGTATATTACGGTTATAGTGAAAAACTTATTGAATTGAAAATTATAAAAGTGAAACAAAATTGTATTCTAAAAAGATCTATGAAAAAATTGTAATCAATAGATATATGTTGTTCATTTAATGTTTATAACACAATTTTTTGATAATGTATATGATACAATAGTTGTAATAAATAATAATATATATAATACATGTTTTCATATTTATTGTGACAAATACAGTGGTGAGTAGCTTAATGGTATAATTTATGTATCATATAAGTACTCACATACAATAGCTTATTTAAAATAGATAGGTTATTTATGATTTAATGAATATGCTACATTAATTATTATGTATATGATACATTATACATAGTCTACATAATTTATTAGATTTTCCCCATAATGTATATGATACAAACACACCTAAATATTTGTATATCGGAGATAACATTTGCACACAAATCATAACAATTTATTGAATTGAACAACATAAGTCATACGTACCAAAATAACATTAAACACAAAAATCATAACAAATTCTTAAATGTATCAGCAAAACTCATAAATATTGAATCAAAATAACCAAAATAAAGAGTAAACTTTATTCATGATAAAAATAAAAGTGATAATGGATTAATTCAAAAATTATTTAACAAAAACATGAATGTCTTACAAAAATAACACTTTCACTTTTCTTTTGGGAAGAAAGTACAAGTTCTTTTGTTGTGACCTTCTTGTCCACAACGTTCACAACAGTTTATGTTTACTGTTATCTTTTCATCTGCAGTTTTTTTCCTTCTTTTCCTTAGTCTTCCAGCCAATCTTTTGTATCTGGGTGGCCACACAGTTTCATCTATAACATTGCTGGGAAACGACCAATCTTCCTTATCTGGCATTGGAACCATTGGAACCTTATGTTTTTGCTGATGCATCAGGCTTGTAGTAATTAGAGCAATAAGGATGCATATCTGCGACATTTTTGTCCTTTAAAACAGCAACTGCATGTGCGCAAAGTATCTCATCTAGTTGAAACCTACCACAAGTACATTATTTCCTCTCAAGACAAACAATGTATCTTCTTCCAGCTTCATAAATCGAGAAAATAAATTCTGATATGGAACAACCTGTGGACTGTGGACATTTAAAAGTAAGCGATAAATTTATTTCAAGAAATGGTGATCAAAACAGTCAAATGATATACCAAATTAGCTACAAAAGATAAAATTATGTATCATGATACATACCTTCATCTTCGAATGTTCCATCAAAGCTATGTATCTCACCACCAATTTTATCCGTTTTATCAATACATAATGGATACATTGCAAAATCAGGCTCACTTTTTTCACTTTTAAATATAGTCTAACACCCATGTCGTTTTTAATTTTCATAGGAGATGAATTACCTTCTATGATGTATCGGATTTCAATGTTTTTTCTTACCTCATCGATCTCTAACTCGGCTGAAATGGCTGCTTTGAGATTCAAAAATGAAATTGATTGTCCAACAACAATTTCATCACTTTTGTAACCTTCATAATTAACTTCGCTTGCCCAAATTCCTGAATGCCTCAACAAAATAGATATATTCATCATGTATCGAGTTTCTTTTTGAAATTATGAATTTTTCAACCGGGTGTTCAAAAATCGTCTCAATGAAGAAGATGAAATTTTGAAATTTGAAATCGTGAAACTGTCCCCTATTAGGATATGGAATGATTATGATCAGTTAGGCGTTAATCTAGGAAATTAATATAACAATAAGAAATTTTACGTTATTGTTCCTTTTTTAGTGCAACAACATTTTGTTACAATGTATCTTTTATAATGTATCTGCATGGTACCTATGTATCTGGCTGCATCAATTTTCAAGGGATTTTTGTAATATTGGAATTATTAGGGAGAGAATGTAATTTAGATCTTAGACTATGGGATTCCTTTAATTTTTACTTTCTTTTTTGGGGAACTATTAAATTTTTTAGATGAATTTGAACAAAAACTACAGGAATAGATCAAGATAAGATTAAAAAAAAAAAGATATTGTAAAGGGACTAAAAAAAATAAAAATTCATTTGAATTGGCATTACAAAAAAAAAAGGAAAAAATTCTTGAGATGAAAGACATAAGTACAACTATTTTCAAAATTCAAGAAAAGTACAAAAAAAAATTTATATATAAAACAAAAGATTAAGATTAAAAAAATAATTTAAAAACATTAACTATGCATGTGGCAACGCGTGTATATCACCCCCTTAATACATATGTGGGTATGACATATTAAATAGGTATATATTCTATTTTAAATTAGTTCAGAGGTGTCATAGGACCTCCGCAAAGTTAGTGTGTAATAGCAATTTCGGTCATAGTTGAGGTGTGTTTTAAACCATTTTCCCAAGAAAATAAGTAAAGGTGACACGTGGTGTAAATGTGTAATTACCTTGTACCTTCGAGTTCTCTGTTCTCCACTTTTTCAATTTCTTGC